CTCTGGCCTCCACCTTACAAGGCAGTTTGTTTGGGACCTCTGAATGTTGGCCATGTACAGTTGTCCAGGTTGCACAATAAGGAACTAATTTAGGTTTACTGGAGGAAGTGTCACATGTGCTGTGGGGGCCTCTTGATGTGGAGTATCCAGGAGAGATCCCGGAGGTCAGAGGGCACAAGCAGGCTCATGTAGGAGGACCTGTGTCTGTCCATGCTCACCGTGTCCGTCCCAGCCCCACCTGCCCTGGCCCTGTCCCTCACCTGTGCCTCCAGCCCCCACAGCTACACCCACGGCGCTGCCGCCACACGCTTGCCACCTCCTCTTCCCCTTGAGTTGGAGAAGACCCACCGTGAGCCGGCACACATGCCCGCCCTGAAGCTGGAAATCGCGGAGGGCGGCACCCTCACCAGCAGGGTTTGCACAGTCGCCAGGGCTTCCCCAGAGGCCCACATGGAGATCACACCCGAGGCCGCCGGCTCCCTGCGTGGGATCATGTTTGCTTTGGAGGGACGTGTGTGTGTCCTGGTGGGGGAGCCAACAGGGAGCTGGGGATTCCTAACCTGCGCCCACGTGCCAGGCGGGAGGCCAGAGCCCTCCGGGGTCCTGAGTGCTTCCTGTTTAACACCAGCCACGGGGGCGCTGCCTCCAGACGGTCGGTGACTTCGTCGTGGTGCACGGTCTGCGGGTGCACGAACACACCCCTCCACAGCAGCCTGAGGAGCGGACCGTGGCTAATTACGTTCTAGACTTTATATTACACGAAATGGGGGAATCTTCTATAAAATCACCACTAAATGAGAGCCGAGTGCTGCGTGCGCAGGGCCGCCCATAAAGGATCCCTGCCTGGCAGCTCTGAGAGGGGCCGTCTGCCTGGCCGATGTGGGGGGTTTATTGCTCACCGTATGATAAAATAATGGGGTCATTAAGAGAAAATACCTCATGGAGCATTAAAATTAGAGGTGGTGAAACAGTCCCCTTTCCTTTTGGGGTTTATGTAGAGCTTTTACGCAGTGTTCTCGCTGTGACACTGGAAGTCACACCATGACTGGGTGGCTCAGCCTCCCTGTGCTGGCTCTGGCTGCCCTGAGGTAGGATGGAGGCTGTGGGTAGGAGGGTATACCTTCCTGCTGACGGTATCGGGAGGCTGAGGGCAGGAGGGACTCTCAGGGGATGTGGGGACCTCCCCCCCTTTGCCACACAGGGGGAAACTGAGGCTGAAGGCAGAGCAGGTGATTCTGTGGCCACAGGCAGCGTCACTGAGCTCCTCGGCAGAGGGGCTGAACCCTGAGGGTGGCCAGACAGGGCCTGCACGACCTCAGCTCCTCCTGCTCTGGCCCCAGCCCAGGTTCTGTCCTCACCTTGGTGTGGGGAAGATGGAAGGAACAGCCCTGCCCTGTCCTTTTATGCCACATAAAAGGCCCTTGAGACACATCATGGCCATCTGGCTCTGTCTGCAGGTTCCTGAGCTGCGGCAGGTGTCCCTTGTGGGCCGAGTCAGCTCAGTGTCCAGCCTCCTGCCCCCACTGGACCCAAGCAAGCATTAGGGATGGGGGGCCTGTGTGGGAGGCTGGGGTCCCCCAGAATCCCTGCTCCCAGGCTGCCCTGGGGCTGGGAGTGGGGAGGACACCCGGGTCACCGGCATGTTAGAGGTGCCGGGCATTTTTCTGGGAGGCAGCCTGGCTGCTTCCGGGCTGAGTTGGTTCCACTTTTGTGGCTGAGGAGCACTGGCTTCGGGCCCCCATAACAGAGACTGTGCATTTGAACCCCGCAGCCTCGGGAGTGTGCGTGACTCTAAGGGCCGGCGTGATGGATTTCTTGGTCTTGCCTTCATCTCGCCTGGCTCGCCTCCTGCACGCTGCTGTGGGAAGCTGCTTTTAAAAGTGGGAATATCTGGATTCAGGACAATGTGGGGAGAATGTTGGAAATGGGACTCTGGGAGGTGGCGTGAGTGACCGAGTTGCTCTCTAGATGTGCTGTCCCCGGTTCCACCTCAGGCCCCAGCGGGCCCCTCCCTGCTGCACAGCGGCGGTGGCCCTCCTGCCCCAGGCTGGCTGCCACACGCACTCCCACCTCCGGCTTTTCCTCCTCAGGCGCTCGCCCTTCTGGGCCTCCTGTGCCAGAGTTCACCCTGCCCCGCTGCTGAGCCTCCTTCTTCTGCGAGTCTTGCTTGGCGGGGCTCAGGTGCACCCCCTGCCTGTCTGTACCCCGGGCCAGGGCAGCCCTGGCTCCTGGAACCGGGTTGCGGTGTCTGGGACGCTGAGGGGTTGTGTGTGCAAATGCCTTCGAGTGGGGTCCATCCTGCAGCATGGATGGAGGCACAAAGCGGGTGGGTGAGGCTGATGTGCCACCTGTTCCTCTGTCACTGCTTCTGCTGGCCCTGGGGCCTCGGTGTCCCAGGACCTTCCCTGCCAACCCGAATGCAGACCTCAACAAGCACAGGAGAAACCAAGGCCCTCACGAGTTAGGCAGGCCGGGAGTCACCCCCAGATTGTACTCTGCCCTGCCTGACTTTTGCAGCCGCCTGAGCCCCAGAGGCGGGTCACTCCCGGGGAACCCTGCCCCTGGCTTGTCCTTAAATCCCAAACTGGCCTCTCCAAGCCTGAAGCAAGCCCTGGCATCACAGGTGGGCATTTCTGACACATTTTCTTTCTGCTGTGGTCAGCTGGTTCAGGCCAGTTCAGACAGTTCAGTGGGAGAGAATTTGGGGTTCTCTCCATTCAGAGTCTCTGGAGCCCTGAGCTACCTGGGCAGTGCTCACCTGCAGAGCCCGCCCCTGTGACTGAGCACCTGCTCGAACACACCTTACACATGGCAGTGAGTCAGCGACCCTCTTGTTAGGGTCAGTCAAATGGTGTAGGGCTCAGGAAAGTCCTCGGGACTGGCCTCCAAGGCAGGGGTGTGGGCCCACCCGTCACAAACGAGCTGCAACCTCTGCAGAGGCCAAGACAGCAGCCCGAAAAGGCCGCACCGCCAGGAGCCCTGGACCCTGAAAGTTCATCCTTCCAGCCCACTCGGGCACATACCTGACATCAGGGCGCTTGGGGAAGCCTGGGAATCACCCCTAGGAAGAGCCCGAGTTACATGAGTCCCTGTCTGTCTCTCCTGGAGCGCTGCCGGCTTGCCTCTGTTGGGGGCACTGGTTCACCGGTGGCCCGGGGTGGGCAGGGACTCCACACTGCCTTCCGGTCTCATCCATCTGCCCAGGTCTGCTGCCTGGGAGCCGGCGTGCCAGGGCAGAGCTCCGCCAGGGAGTCAAAGCTGTATGGAGAACAGGAGGGCTGGGGTAGCCGTGGCGGGGAGCTCTGCCCAGCGTGGATGTTGCCCTCTGGCTGAGATGGGCCTGCCCATGGGGTGGGCATTTGCCATCTGTCTTCCCTGCATGGTGCCCTCCAGCCTGAGGGTGGGCCGGGTGGAGGCTGAGCAGAAAGGCCAGGTGATGGCAGGGACCGGCCCCCAGGCAGGAGTTGGATGGAGCCACACCGTCCCTTTCACACATCCCTGAGGGTGGTTGGAGGTGCCCAGAGCCGAGGATGGGGTGCTGTGATGTTGTGAGCCAGCAGCCAGGGAACCTGTGCCTGGGCGGGGGCAGGGTGCCTGCCTGGGCCTCCCGTTTCCCAGTGCAGAGCGGGCAGCAAACCGCATCTTGGCCCCTCTGTGGGGAGGGAGAGGCTGCGGCCGCTGCTGCGGTGGAGCCCTGAGGGCCCCGAGGAGCTGAGCGCCCCCTGCCCCAAGCGCCCCCTGCCCTGCCAATTCTGGCTTCGGGGTCCTGGTGCTTGTCCTTGTCCTTGGTGCTGGGCTCCTGTCCTTGGCTCAAAGCTGGGGGTGGTCCAGGAGCCAACAGCCAGGGTGGCCTCCATGGGGACGCTGGGCAGAACCTGCTGCTGGGGGAATGGGGAAAGGCAGCTGCCTTGGAGATGTGTCTGGGGAGAGGCACTGAGGGGCCAGGCCCCTACAGCTTGCACGCACATGGGCACAAACACCCAGCTCACTTGCACCTCCTGGGGACAGGCTCCTGCGAAGTCCCATGGCCCAGAGCTGGCTCGGCAGCCTCCAGCCCTGGGTAGCCCGCAGCTTATGGGGAGTCAGATGCCCCTGATGATGACTAAGGGGCCATGGGGCACTGGGTGCTCTGTCCCCAGAGGCTCTCCCTGAGCCCATGGACTGCTTCCTCTGGGCTCTGAGGATGAGGGGTGCTCAGGTCACTCGTGGTGCGTGGCCGAGTGTGACTCCAAGCTGACGCTGAGGCGCTGCTCATCCCGGGCAGCAGGTGGGGAGACTGTGGCCCCGAGATGCTGACCTGATAAGGTCCACGGGGTGCTGGTGCTGCGGGGCTGGGCCGGTGCACGCTTGGATGTAGCCCTGGCCAAGGTAGCGCTGCCGAGTGCGGGCTGGACGGCGGCCTGGAGGAAAGCAGGGGCCCCAGACGCCCCGTCCTGCCGGCAGGTCAGCCCGGCTTCCACTGCGCTGGGGAGGCAGGTGCCAGGCTTCGTTGACTCAGCGGGTGCAGTGGAAAGTGGGGACGTCTTGGGGCCTTCTCAGGTCTGGGCAGGCTGGGGACCACCATGTATGCCCGTGACAGGACCCCCGATCTTTCAGCGCCACCCTGGCTGCCAGAGACACTCATATGGAAGGTACCGAGTGTTAAGAAATAACTTTTGAGTCACAAAACCATTGTTATCGTTCTGACGGACGACAACAGCCCACGGTTGATGGGCAGCCGCAGGCGTGAAGTGGCTCGTAAATGTCCCTCCCGCCAGCCCCACGAAGCCGCCGAGGCGGCGCTGGGTGCTGAGACGTTGTGGTTTAAGACCAATGTTGATTAGAATTTTTTATAAGTTTTTTTTATAAGAGTAATAACAGCTCTGTGGAGACAATCACGTGGCTCAGGAAGGGTTTAAAGACCTGCAGGAATGAGAATTGGATTTGCAATCAGGCAGGAAGCCCCTCCCCCAGCCACTCTAACTTCGCCTGTCTGTCTTTTTATTGCCACTTTCCCTCAGGGGACGGAGCCCCTTTGATGGCTGAAGCTCCTTTTCAAGATGAAGGGTGCTGCCGCTCCAGCAACGCCCAGACCGGGGCGCCTCCCTATCCAGGACAGGATGGAGACCCCAGACCCTGCCTCCTGCCAACACCCGGCGAGTCCAGGCCTAGGACAGCCGCCCAGCGACCACCCAGGAGGCGCAGGTGCCTGGAACGGCTCAGGGTGGGCAGGTTGGCGGTGCCGGCAGTTGCAGGCTAATGACCACCAGGTGGCGACGGAGGACCAGCCAATGAAGAAGGATGCAGGACGCAGAGCCTGACCCAGGGGGCGGGAGGGAGGGCGGATGGCAGGACCAGTCCTGGGCCGGGATGGGGGTGCTGTCCCACACTGCCCTCAGCCCCAGGAGCCCCGAGACCCACGGGAACCCAGAGACGGCAATGCATTTCCCGAGAGCGGGAGCAGCAAGGCTGGAATCTCAGGCCGGGAGGACCCACGTGGGTGTGTGGGCTCAGGACAGCTTTTTCACTGGGACAGACTGCAAACTCACTGGCCCTGCAGTGAGTGGTGGCCGCGGGACCCCGGGGGGAATCCCAGCCCAGTGGGGCTGCGGGCCTCCCCAGGGGCGTCCTCACGCGTGGGCTGGCGCCCCTCTGGGGGCACAGGACCCTCTCTTCCCCCCCACACAGCTTCACCTGGGTCAGGGGATCCCAGAGGCAAGGGGGCCGTAGACAGTTCTGGGTAGGGGCTCCCAGCCTCGGGGGTCTGGCCATTGGCTTCGGTACCCAGTGCTCAGTGAGGCGGCACACGCCTGTGCCCCATGAGGGCATGTGGGGCTGCCAGCTCAGCCCTGGCTTCGGGGGCGGGGTTGGGCAGTGGGCCTCGCCCACTTCAGTCTCTGTTGTTCGAGGAGCCAGGCTGTGTTCTGGGGCAGAGCCAGGGCTCCTCCTCACAGTCACAGCCCAGGATCAGGGGTACGTTCTGTCTCCCCAAACACCTGGGATCCCTCGGCGGGATGTCAGGCTGTGGGAGCCGGCGTGGCCTCCCAGAGCGTCTTGCAGCCATGGGGCATTGGTGTCTTGGCGGCGGCTTCCTCTGCTGGGGATGGGGTCTCCCACTGGGAGTTCTACGGGACAGGAAGATGGATGAGGGTCCCTGCCCCTGCTCTGGCGTTCGGGGATAGTGATGGCAGCTCATGCTGGGCTAAGGGACCGGTGCCCTCTGTCCCCCACAGCACAGGAGGAGGGGTTTGTGATGACTCTTTCCTTGGAAAGCAGCCCCGAGGCTCACCCTGCAGGCCCTTGCTCTGGGCAGCCAGCTGCTCCTGGCTAGGACGACGTGCCCAGAGGGGGCCTTGCTCTCCCTCCCTCCGAGAGCAGCCTGGGCTCACCAGGGAGACTCTCTCCCTCTGGCTGCCAGGGAGGGGTGAGGTAGCTTCCCAGCCATCCTTCCTGGGGGACATGGGTCTCAGCCTCAGGGGGTCTGCTCAGTGTGCTTCCATGTGCTCGGACCCCTCGTGCTGTGCAGGTCCTAGGGGACCCTGGCCGTCCCTTTCACTGTCCAGATAGCTGTGTCCATAGAGCTTCCAGGGACTCACGGCCCAGACATGGGCTACCAGTGGGGTGGACGCCTCTCCTGCAGGTGGGGTAAGAGCAATGGGGCTGAGCCACATGGACTCAGGAGCTCCAGCAGTGCCAGCACCTGTCACCTGCTGTGTGACCACGAGCAAGTGCAGCCACCTCTGTGAGGCTCCAGAGCATTTTGACTCAGCCCCAAACTGAGTCCTGATCCCAGCCCACATAGAGCTCTGATCCACCTCACACAGAGCCTTGACCTTAGCTCACCCTGAGCCCTGATCCCAGCTTATCCTGGACCCGGATCCTTGTCCACCCTGGACCCGGATTCTAGCCCACCCTGGACCTGGATCCTAGCTCACCCTGAACCCGGATTCTATCCCACCCTGGACCCGGATCCTAGCCCACCCTGGACCTGGATTCTTGTCCACCCTGGACCCGGATCCTAGCCCACCCTGGGCCGGGATTCTTGTCCACCCTGGACCCAGATCCTAGCCCATCCTGGACCTGGATTCTTGTCCACCCTGGACCTGGATCCTAGCCCACCCTGGACCTGGATCTTAGCCCACCCTGGACCCGGATTCTTGTCCACCCTGGACCCGGATCCTAGCCCATCCTGGACCTGGATTCTTGTCCACCCTGGACCTGGATCCTAGCCCACCCTGGACCTGGATCTTAGCCCACCCTGGACCCGGATTCTTGTCCACCCTGGACCCGGATCCTAGCCCACCCTGGACCGGGATTCTTGTCCACCCTGGACCTGGATCCTAGCCCACCCTGGACCGGGATTCTAGCCAACCCTGGACCTGGATCCTAGCCCATCCTGGACCCGGATCCCAACCCACCCTGGACCCGGATCCCAGCCCACCCTGGACCTGGATCTTAGCCCACCCTGGACCTGGATTCTAGCCAACCCTGGACTCAGATCCTAGCCCACCCTGGACCTGGATTCTAGCCCACCCTGGACCCGGATCCTAGCCCACCCTGGACCCGGATCCCAGCCCACCCTGGACCTGGATTCTAACTCACCCTGAGCCCTGATCCTGGGCCACCCTGGGCCCTGATTCCTATCCCCACAGAGTCCTCACCACCACCGGCACTGTCTGACCCAGGCAGGGCTCTGAGAGTCTGTGCTGACAGAAAGATCATCAAAGTGGACGGGACAGATGGGGGCCACACCTCCTGCTGTGGGGCGGGGGCGGTGGTGGAAAATGTCCCAGCAGGTGTTTAACTCCTGTATTTGTTCCTCCTCATTGTGGCTCTGAGGCCACGTGACTTGTGTGGGGCAGAGGCTGTTTCTTTTGGTGTGGAATTCCACCATTAGCACTTCCTGTCCTTGGGGCAAGCCTCGCTCTTAACCAGCAGATCCCAGAGGGAGGACTCCTCGTCCCTGGGCAGGTCCTAGAGGTTCTTTGTTGGAGGCTGCAGGCCAGGCCACGGGTGCAGGAAGGTGGGCATCAAGGCAGGGGCTCAGCAACGGTGGGTGAGGACCTCAGCGGGGCAGGCGGGGCAGCCTCCATGGCCCTTCCAACCCGAGCCCAGGCGCCTGGCTGAGCTGGAGCTGGACGCACAGAGAGCCCTGCCTGCAGCTCCGTAACCTTCCGTGGTGACACCGCCCCGGCTCCCAGCCCCCTCTCAGTTCATGCTCTCTCCCCTGCACACCCTGATCCTGTGTACCCTCACTGGCTGCGTGTGAGTGGGGGAGTTCTGGAAGATAACCTGCCAGCGGCACTTATGTAAACCCCAGGTGATTTATAAGCATGGACAGTTTTAAGGCCGCCGGAGCGCAGAGCAGGTACTCAGCCAGACTGCTGACCCAACAGTTTCAAAGTGAGCGTGAAGGCACGAACTGGGCGGACCTGGGTCTCCGGGCGCCTGCCCCCGCCCCTGGCCCCCCATCATGTTGCTCAGGGCAGCTGCTGTCTCTGCTGGCTCCTTGCAGAGGACGTTGGGGGGTCCTGTGGGCTGTCAAGGGGAAGGGCGGTGGCCTGGCTGGGGCCTGTGAGGCTCACAAGAGCTGGGCGGCGGGTCCTATTGGTTGCGCTGGGGTCCAGGTGGCTGTGGTGGGGCTCGAGACAAGGAGTGGGGGTCCCATTTCTCCTGGGATGAGGAGGGTGACAGCAGGCTGGGTGGCCCAGGAAGCTGAGCTGAACTTCTTTTGCTCTGTGAGTGGATGCAGGCCAGGCATGGTGGTGCAGGCAGCTGGGGTGGGGAGGAAGGGAGTCCAGCCCCACCCATCCCTACTTGGCTGGGGGAGGGTGCCCCAGCCCGCTGGCCTCCAGGGCCTGGGGTGGGAAGCTGGTGAGGGAGGAGGGCTGGAGGTAATGGGAGACCTGCCTGACGCAGGGAAGCAGGTGGAGACTGCAGGGAGGCTGAGTCCCCACTTTCCCAGCCAGGCTGCACAGGGGACACAGATACGGAACCTCCTGACTCCTACCTGCTGGTGCTCAGCTCAGACGCTGTGGAGCGCGCCACGTTGCCTCCCAAGAGTGTGGCTGGGCCCAGCTATGACGAGGATGGGTGTGAGGGGCTGTGGGCCCAGGAGGAAGTGGACACAGACGCTGGTGGGACCAAGGAGGGTCACAAGGCTGGGGGCAGGAGAGCAAGGGCGGCTGGGGAAGGTGCTGCCAGGCACCCACACCTGCAGGGCTTTGCAGCCACCAGCCACTGGGGGACCCTGAACCAGGCCCCTTCCCTCTCTTGGCCTCAGCTCCTCTGTGCCTGAAAGAGGGGCCCTAGGGCTGGTCCCTGTCAGCCAGTGGTTCCTCAGCTGGTCCCCAAGGACAAGGCACAAGGTGGCACCACTGAGTGGCTTCAGGAGCTTACTCCTGGCCGTGTGCATATGTGAGCATGTGCACCTCTGCACGCACGCATGCAAGCGTGTGCCTGTGTGCAATGCATGTATGTGCAGGTACATGGACATGTGCATGGGCAGACACAGGTACATTTGTGTCCATGTATGTGGGTGTGGACAGATGCATACATGTGTGCATGTATGTGTGTATGCCTGTGTATATGGATGTGTATGTATTTGTGTGTGCATGTGTGCATACATGTGTGCAGGAATGTGTGTGCATTTGTGTGTGTGTGCATGGATGTGTGCATGTGTGTGCATGGATGTATGTGCATCTGTGTGCGTGTGTGTACGTGTGTGCACCAGGGAGCAGGGCTGAGTGTCCTGAAGGAGGAGGAGCCAGGGCTGCACGCATGAAGTTGCAGGTGTTGGAGGCTGAGTGAGTCACACATCTCCCCCGGTGCAGTGGGGCAGGCTGTGGATTGGCACGGCTGCCATGTCCTCTTTCGTCCTCCTAATGTGAAGTTAATCAGGTAGAGCATTCGAGAAAGACATTTGGAAGTTGATCTCAAATCAGGAGAGCCCTCAGTGTGGGAGAGGGAGGGTGAGGCAAGTCCCCGCCTCTGGGGAACCTGCGTGGGGTGGGGTGGGCGCACAGAGGGACTGGGCTGGGTGGCACTGTTGCTGGGGGGCCCCTGGGTGGGGCATTTTCTCCTGCCTGGCTCCCCCTTCCTTATCTGCCAAGGGTGGAAACAGTGAGTGTAGGGCACCCAGGCAGCCTGGCGGGGGTAGGGGCGGGTTAGGGGACAGCCCGGCAGTCGGGTCTGGGAGGAGGATGGAGGCTCCTCTGGTGGCCCCACTAGGGTTGCATGTCCTCCGAGGCTCAGCTCCCTCTAGCTGGCCCTGGGGGTGAGTCCTGCCCAGGTGTCCTCGCTGTCCAGGGAGTGAGGGCCACAGCTCTGGCAGGCTGGGACCCGCCTCGGGAAGGCAGGCAGCGCTGGATGCCTGGGCACCCTCCTGTCTCCCACACCCTGAATGCCCGTGGTCGGGGGAGCATGATTCTATCTCTGCGGAGGGCATGGTGTGGAGAAGCTGGCCAGGAACTGGAGGCCTGGAACTCAGGTCAGGAAAATGCTGTGTTTGTCCCTGGGTGTGCACAGACCAGGAAAAGGGGCAAAGGCCACTGCACCCCTGGGGAGACGCTGGTGGATGAGTGCTCCTGGAGACAGGGATGAAGGGAGGCCGGGTGGCAAGGAGGCCTTGCTTGCCAAGGCTGTGGCATGGCCTGGAAGGCTGGTGGGGCAGCCCTGGGCAGGCAGAGGTGAGCTGTGGCTATGGTCAGGGAAGGTGGCACCGCTGGGCTGACACCTGGCACTGTGGTCCCAAGGCCAGCATCCCGGGTGCTGGGACAGCACGGGGCACAAATACCAGCCCACATAGAAATGAGGCAATGGGTCACAAGTGCAAACCCACAGCTAGTGAATATTTAACGCCTAACAAAAGTGCATGCATAATTAACCAGGCGCTGGCGGAGGAGCTGGAATAATTTGTCTTCTTAAAGGGGATTTGGTAATTCGTTAAGCTATTTTGAAATCTGCAGTCTAGCTACGGGAACTGCTCTGATTTCTAAATTAATTTGTGTGATTTAGAAAGTGGAAGCCTGTCGGTTCTGTGGGGGCCGCGGGTAGCAGGGTGGCCTCTGAGGGCTCCGAGGTGCGCTTGGCGATTGTTGATTGCCCTAGCGATGGATGCCCTCATCCGTGGAGACCCTGCTGCGGAGCGCAGCCCTGTGCACCCCGCCTCTCCCACCAGCCTTGATTCCATGTGTGGAACCCAGCGCCCCCCCACCCTGCCAGGTGAGTTAGTTTACGAGCAGGTGCTGTGGGACGCTGGTCTCCAGAGGCTCAGTTTAATCCTCCTCAGAGGATGCTCCGGGCTGGAGGTTGGTGAGCCTGTCTGGCCTGGAGGCGCAGGGCCTGGCTCTCAGAGCAGCTGACCCAGCTGCAGTTCGAGCACCAGGCTGTGAGTCAAAGGACGACCTGTAGCACAAAGGGTCACAGCAGTGACCACTGGAAAAGCCCCCCATTTCCAGCCCCAGATCCCTAGACTGAGAGTCCCAGCGGCATGTCACTGACTGGGAGCCTGCACCACATCCTGCAGGGCCCTGGCGGGCGCCACAGGGCATTACCACCCAGCCGGCACCATCCCTGAGTCTCCCAAGGCCACTCTGCCCCATCACGCCGGCAGCTGCCGGACAGTGGGGATGTCAGACCGGTGGATTCATTGCAGCTTGAAGGGAGATCCTTGGTAACCGCCATGCTGTGTGGAAGGCCAGGCTGAAGGGGAAAGATGGTCATTTTGGCAGAAGGCTTGTGGCCAGGAATGACCAGTCCGTATTCAAAGTAAGCGTCTCTTCCAGTAAGAATTAAGCACCGCCTCTTTCATACAAAAACAGTCCAATGTCATCACCTGTCACCAGGCTGCCCTGGTGATGGTGCTTCAACCTGTACTAAGCCTCAGTTTACCTTCCTAGCCAAGCCAAGGTCCACTTCCCAGTCAAGCCTGGGTCTGTTACCCCAGCCGAACCTGATTCCACCTGCCAGCTGAGCCTGAGTCCACCTCCCAGCTGAGCCTGGAGCCAAAATTCCAGATGAGCCTGAGTCCCCCTTCCAGCTGAGTCTGAGTCTACCTCCCAGATGAACCTGGGTCCATCACCCTAGCTGAGCCTGAGTCCACCTCCCAGCTGAACCTGGGATCACCTCCCAGCTGAGCCTGAATCCACCTCCCATCTGAGCCTGGGTCCACCTCCCAGCTGAGCCTGGGACCATTATCCCAGGTAAGCCTGAGTCCACCTCCCAGGTGAACCTGAGTCCACCTCCCATCTGAGCCTGGGTCCACCTCCCATCTGAGCCTGAGTCCACCTCCCAGCTGAACCTGGGGTCACCTCCCAGCTGAATCTGGGTCCACCTCCCAGCTGAGAGGGACCCTTGTGATTTGAGCCTACGACCCTATGGAGCCGTGTTCACAGTGAGTGATTTTGGTGGTCCCTTCATTTGGTGACTTCTGGGTGTCAAGCACAGAGAGTTGAGCGAATCCCACCTGGGTTGGCTGGGGGTCTCCAGCCAAGCATGCCCATCCCCTTGGTGACCCACTCCTCACAAGCCTGGGACACCAGACCCTTGGGGAGCTCAAGGGTCCTGAGTCTGACACACAGGGTCTGCTGGTGTGTCCTGGAATGGTGGTGAGGTGGTCCCTGGAAGAAGAGAGGGGAGACCTGGTACACTGTCCTGTCCGTGCACCGTGGCCTGTCAGAGCCTAAGCACCTCAGGGAAAGGCCCACGGCCTTTGCCAGGCCTCTCAGCACTGGAGCTGCTTCTCTCTGTGAGGGACCTGCTGCTGGCTCCAAGGGGCATCTAGACAGGGGAGCAGAAGCCCCTCTAGCCTTGTTCCCAGGGGGCTGCGAAGAGGAGGGTCTCCTGCCCCCAGGTATGTTGTGTGAAAGGGGGATCTCCTGCTCCCAGGTGTGTTGTGTGAAAGGGGGTCTCCTGCCCCCCGGTGTGTTGTGTGAAAGGGGGTCTCCTGCCCCCAGGTGTGTTGTGTGAAAGGGGGTCTCCTGCCCCCCGGTGTGTTGTGTGAAAGGGGGTCTCCTGCTCCCCGGTGTGTTGTGTGAAAGGGGTTCTCCTGCTCCCTGGGAGTTTCTGGGACATATTTCTGGGATTGGGGACCACAGCAGAGAAGTCTGTGGTTTCCTTGGATTCTGGAAGGTTCTGGGGGAACTGGGGAAGGGTCAGGTCAGAGGCTCTTCCTGGGGAGGGGTGGCCAGCCAGGAGTGACACAGTAACCATTTCCTGCAGAGCCTGGGGGCCTGGCTCCTGTGGGGGATCAGGGCATCACTTCCTGGATGGGTGACGGAGGCTGGGGGCTCCTGCAGACCCTGCCTTCTCTGAGCTCCCCAGGGCAAATGGGCATCCTCAGTCTGTGCGGGCTGGGAGGCCCTGAGGGCATCTTGTGGGCTCCTCTTCTTGGGCTGTGGGAAGAGGGGGTGACCCTCTGGCCCACATGAGCCTCACTCTGGCCCGGTCAGCCCGGTGCTAGCGTCCCGCTGGGGCAGGATTTGAGGGGCATGATGGCTGCTTCCTCTGAGCTGCAGGTTGGACAGGGCTGCACAGGGAGCTGGGTGCTCTGGGCCAGAGGAGGGCCCTGGTCCACGGGGGCCCACCCAGGCACGGTGTCACCACAGCCCTCCAGCCTACCCCAGAGCGTCCTGCCTGCTCCTGGGCAGGCCCCTGGTCCCTAGTCCCTGCGTGGGTGCAGAGCTTCCTGCAGGAGGCTGGGAGCCTGGCGTGAGGCACAGGGCTGGGCATGTCTTCAAAGCCTGTGCGTGAGGCGCAGGGCCCGCTGCCACAACCTCTGGCTTTGAAGATGACGGCCCTGGCTGCTTCTTTCCCACCTATAGTGCCTTTTTCAAGCTTCAGAGCCAGCCTGGTAGCTCCTGGAGAGGCTCAGCCCCTGCTGGATGTGGCCAGGGTCGGTGGGGGAAGAAGAGGTATGTCCTCAGGGACAGTGCTGGCAGCCACTGAGACTGAAGCTGTGACCCCAGGGCAGATGGCAGCTGCCTGGTGGGTGTTTGCTCCCCGGGAAGGAGCAGAGATGACTGTAGATTGCCACCTCCGTGACCCCCTCCCTGGCTGCCTCTGTGACCCGCTCCCTGGCTCTGCTGAGTGGCCGCTTTCCTGGGAGTTCATCCAGTCCTTGCTGCACAGGTGGGGAAACTGAGGCTCAGCAGGTGGGTGAGGGGCTGGGTCCCGGCTGGGTCCCTCCTGGTTCCCTCTTTCTGGCGGGGCTCACATGGCTCTGATTCTGAGCTGCTGATCCCCTCCTGGAGACCCACTGGGGTGCAGCCGGCCCCTGGTCCCTCCAGCCCAGCGTCTCCAGGGCTCTTCAAGAGGCCGCGGAGCCTCCAGTCTCCTCTTTGTTCTGCCCAGCTCGGGCCCACAGCCACTCTCTCCATGGCTGGATGCATCCTGAAATTCTCTTTCCATTAAAAATAAATGCCCCATTTTATCTGCCTGAAATGGCCCCGCTCTCTGCTTGTCTCTTCTGTGCCGCTGTATAGGAGAACTATAAAATCATAATACAACTATTAATCCCCTGTATCTGCTTGTACCTAATTTTTATTAAAAATATCCTGCGCTCCAGCTGCCGTGTAAATTACAGTGAGGTTGAAAAGTCTCCAGCTGGATTAGCCGGGAAGGAGAGCGTGTTGGGTGGGACACAGGCTCGCTCTGGGGCTGGCGGGCTGGGTCAGGAACTGGCAAAGCCACGCTGGGGTGGCCCTCTGCCCTGTGCAGCTGCAGGGAAACCGGTTTCCATGGCTTGTTGGCAGCTGCCTCCCGCTCCCGGCCTGGGCTCCCTGGATCTGGGATGGACTCAGGCGGGTCTGATGAGAGGAGCTCGGGGTCTCAGCAGTCCTGGCCCACTGCTCCTGGTGTCACCCTGTGCAGACGCAGACTTGAGTCTAGCTGCAGTGGCCATGGGCCATGGGACCCTTCCGAGTGTGCCCCTGCACAGAGGAGTCTAAGGGGTGCCAAGGGGGACGGAGTGTGGCGGGGTTTCTGCCTTCTGAGGAGGGCACACTCCACCCCTCTGAGGCCTTGTGTGGCCTGCCCATCTCTCCCCTAAAAGTGGCCACAAACACTCTGAGGGCTTCCTGGGGGGCCATCAAGGCTCGGAGTGGCAGCAGAAAGCTTTTCTGACATTCAGTGGAGCCGGGACATGCCCCAGGCCCTCACACACCAGGCAGATGAGGGAGGGGCCCATGGCTTCTTTCTCCCAGCCTGAGCCCTACCCGGCATGTTGTGTGAGGACAGGAGATGCCTTGGGGGCTGGGGATGACAGCTGGACGCTCCCTGGCAGCCACCCACAGGCAGCATTGCAGGAGGGAGGCGCCGGCCTACAGGGGTGCAGCGAGGCTGAGGACAGAGGCACACCTTTGGTGGGCTGCAGGTGCTGGCGGCCATCATGGTTGGGTTGTGGGTGGGTCCCAAAAGCCCAGCTCTGTAGCCTGGCCTCTGAGTTGGGCTGACCTCCCAAAGTGGGCCTTTCAGAGGGAGGAAGTCAGGAGGCTGTCTGATGGTGGCTGCAAGGCTGGTGATGGCACTGCCGGGGGGCGGTTAAGGAACCCTCATGAGTGCTGGGGCTTAGGGAGCAGCTGGACCGAGGTAGCCCCTCCTCTTGGGGACCCCCTCACTGCAAAGGGGTGTTGGCCAAATCCATAGGTGCCGCAGACCTGTGGACAGACAGCGGTCATGGGGAGCCCCACCTCTAGACGTGGGACCTCCGGCAGCTCCAGCCCCTCCTGCCTCTTGTGCCTCATCCCAGTGGCCTTGGCTTTCCCTGCCAGCTCTGGTCCCTGCATTCTGGGGGCCTTGATCCTCGTGCCTCGGGGAGTGTTTGGCTCACAACAGGGGTCCCAGGCTGAGGACTAAAGGGGCTGCACTAAGGGAAGGGCCCCTTCCTGGAGTGGGTGGGGGGGCAAAAGGGTCTGTTGTCCCCAGCACCCCAGAGTGGCCAGGCCCTCCCTGGCCTCTGTGTGAGCGTCTTCCTCCAAAGGTGGTTGCAGAGAATTCCAAGTGCAGCACATGGAGGGGACAGGGCCGTGGACGCTCCCCTCCATCCCCCTCTGCCAGCCCTAGTGCCGACCCCCAGTCTCTTATCTCCTCTCCAGCACCTGCACGCCCACAGCTGGGGGGTTTGGAGCAAATCCCCACCGTTGGATTCACGTGTCTGTAAATACTGCTAAACAATAAGGCCGCCTTGAAAAGCAGCCTCTGCCCGCTTCTCCCAGTGTCCTGTCTGTTTCTGTCCTCACGTCACCGCTGCCCGCTTCTCCCCGGGTGTCCTGTCTGTTTCTGTCTTCACGTCACCGCTGCCCGCTTCTCCCAGTGTCCTGTCTGTTTCTGTCCTCACGTCACCGCTGCCCGCTTCTCCCAGTGTCCTGTCTGTTTCTGTCCTCACGTCACCGCTGCCCGCGTCTCCCCGGTGTCCTGTCTGTTTCTGTCTTCACGTCACCGCTGCCCGTGTCTCCCCGGGTGTCCTGTCTGTTTCTGTCCTCACGTCACCGCTGCCCACTTCTCCCCGGTGTCCTGTCTGTTTCTGTCTTCACATCACCGCTGCCCGTGTCTCCCCGGGTGTCCTGTCTGTTTCTGTCCTCACGTCACCGCTGCCCGCGTCTCCCCGGGTGTCCTGTCTGTTTCTGTCTTCACGTCACCGCTGCCCGCTTCTCCCAGTGTCCTGTCTGTTTCTGTCTTCACGTCACCGCTGCCCGCTTCTCCCAGTGTCCTGTCTGTTTCTGTCTTCACGTCACTGCTGCCCGCGTCTCCCCGGTGTCCTGTCTGTTTCTGTCTTCACGTCACCGCTGCCCGTGTCTCCCCGGGTGTCCTGTCTGTTTCTGTCCTCACGTCACCGCTGCCCGCTTCTCCCCGGTGTCCTGTCTGTTTCTGTCTTCACATCACCGCTGCCCGCTTCTCCCAGTGTCCTGTCTGTTTCTGTCCTCACGTCACTGCTGCCCACGTCTCCCCAGTGTCCTGTCTGTTTCTGTCCTCACGTCACCGCTGCCCGCTTCTCCCAGTGTCCTGTCTGTTTCTGTCCTCACGTCACCTCTGCCCGCTTCTCCCAGTGTCCTGTCTGTTTCTGTCCTCACGTCACCTCTGCCCGCTTCTCCCCGGGTGTCCTGTCTGTTTCTGTCTTCACGTCACCGCTGCCCGCTTCTCCCAGTGTCCTGTCTGTTTCTGTCTTCACGTCACCGCTGCCCGCTTCTCCCAGTGTCCTGTCTGTTTCTGTCTTCACGTCACTGCTGCCCGCGTCTCCCCGGTGTCCTGTCTGTTTCTGTCTTCACGTCACCGCTGCCCGTGTCTCCCCGGGTGTCCTGTCTGTTTCTGTCCTCACGTCACCGCTGCCCGCTTCTCCCCGGTGTCCTGTCTGTTTCTGTCTTCACATCACCGCTGCCCGCTTCTCCCAGTGTCCTGTCTGTTTCTGTCCTCACGTCACTGCTGCCCACGTCTCCCCAGTGTCCTGTCTGTTTCTGTCCTCACGTCACCGCTGCCCGCTTCTCCCAGTGTCCTGTCTGTTTCTGTCCTCACGTCACCTCTGCCCGCTTCTCCCAGTGTCCTGTCTGTTTCTGTCCTCACGTCACCTCTGCCCGCTTCTCCCAGTGTCCTGTCTGTTTCTGTCCTCACGTCACCTCTGCCCGCTTCTCCCAGTGTCCTGTCTGTTTCTGTCCTCACGTCACCTCTGCCCGCTTCTCCCAGTGTCCTGTCTGTTTCTGTCCTCACGTCACCTCTGCCCGCTTCTCCCAGTGTCCTGTCTGTTTCTGTCCTCACGTCACCTCTGCCCGCTTCTCCCAGTGTCCTGTCTGTTTCTGTCCTCACGTCACCTCTGCCCGCTTCTCCCAGTGTCCTGTCTGTTTCTGTCTTCACATCACCTCTGCCCGCTTCTCCCAGTGTCCTGTCTGTTTCTGTCCTCAGGTCACCTCTGCCCGCTTCTCCCCGGGTGTCCTGTCTGTTTCTGTCCTCACGTCACCGCTGCCCATTTCTCCCCGGGTGTCCTGTCTGTTTCTGTCCTCACGTCACCTCTGCCCGCTTCTCCCAGTGTCCTGTCTGTTTCTGTCTTCACGTCACCGCTGCCCGCTTCTCCCGGGCGTCCTGTTTCTGTCTTCACGTCACCGCTGCCCATTTCTCCCCGGGTGTCCTGTCTGTTTCTGTCTTCACGTCACCGCTGCCCGCTTCTCCCCGGGTGTCCTGTCTGTTTCTGTCCTCACGTCACCGCTGCCCATTTCTCCCCGGGTGTCCTGTCTGTTTCTGTCTTCACGTCACCGCTGCCCGCTTCTCCCAGTGTCCTGTCTGTTTCTGTCTTCACATCACCTCTGCCCGCTTCTCCCAGTGTCCTGTCTGTTTCTGTCTTCACGTCACCTCTGCCCGCTTCTCCCAGTGTCCTGTCTGTTTCTGTCTTCACGTCACCTCTGCCCGCTTCTCCCAGTGTCCTGTCTGTTTCTGTCTTCACGTCACCGCTGCCCGCTTCTCCCGGGCGTCCTGTTTCTGTCTTCACGTCACCGCTGCCCATTTCTCCCCGGGTGTCCTGTCTGTTTCTGTCTTCACGTCACCGCTGCCCATTTCTCCCCGGGTGTCCTGTCTGTTTCTGTCTTCACGTCACCGCTGCCCGCTTCTCCCAGTGTCCTGTCTGTTTCTGTCTTCACGTCACCGCTGCCCATTTCTCCCCGGGTGTCCTGTCTGTTTCTGTCCTCACGTCACCTCTGCCCGCTTCTCCCCAGTGTCCTGTCTGTTTCTGTCTTCACATCACCGCTGCCCGCTTCTCCCAGTGTCCTGTCTGTTTCTGTCTTCACGTCACCGCTGCCCGCTTCTCCCCGGGTGTCCTGTCTGTTTCTGTCTTCACGTCACCGCTGCCCGCTTCTTCCCGGGCGTCCTGTCTGTTTCTGTCTTCACGTCACCGCTGCCCGCTTCTCCCCGGGTGTCCTGTCTGTTTCTGTCTTCACGTTACTGCGCTCAGCCGCTGCCCGCTTCTCCCCGGGTGTCCTGTCTGTTTCTGTCCTCACGTCACTGCTGCCCACTTCTCCCCGGGTGTCCTGTTTCTGTCCTCACGTCACCGCTGCCCGCTTCTCCCCAGTGTCCTGTCTGTTTCTGTCCTCACGTCACCACTGCCCGCTTCTCCCCGGGTGTCCTGTCTGTTTCTGTCTTCACGTCACCGCTGCCCGCTTCTCCCCGGGTGTCCTGTTTCTGTCCTCACGTCACCGCTGCCCGCTTCTCCCGAGTGTCCTGTCTGTTTCTGTCCTCACGTCACCGCTGCCCGCTTCTCCCCGGGTGTCCTGTCTGTTAATGTCTTCCCGTCACCGCTGCCCGCTTCTCCCGTGTGTCCTGTCTGTTTCTGTCTTCACGTCACCGCTGCCCGCTTCTCCCCGGGTGTCCTGTCTGTTTCTGTCCTCACGTCACCGCTGCCCGCTTCTCCCCAGTGTCCTGTCTGTTTCTGTCCTCACGTCACCGCTGCCCGCTTCTCCCCGGGTGTCCTGTCTGTTTCTGTCCTCACGTCACCGCTGCCCGTGTCTCCCCGGGTGTCCTGTCTGTTTCTGTCCTCACGTCACCGCTGCCCGCTTCTCCCCAGTGTCCTGTCTGTTTCTGTCCTCACGTCACCGCTGCCCGCTTCTCCCCGGGTGTCCTGTCTGTTTCTGTCCTCACGTCACCGCTGCCCGTGTCTCCCCGGGTGTCCTGTCTGTTTCTGTCCTCACGTCACCGCTGCCCGCTTCTCCCCAGTGTCCTGTCTGTTTCTGTCCTCACGTCACCGCTGCCCGCTTCTCCCCAGTGTCCTGTCTGTTTCTGTCCTCACGTCACCGCTGCCCGCTTCTCCCCGGGTGTCCTGTCTGTTTCTGTCTTCACGTCACCGCTGCCCGCTTCTCCCCAGTGTCCTGTCTGTTTCTGTCCTCATGTCACCGCTGCCCGCTTCTCCCCGGGTGTCCTGTCTGTTTCTGTCCTCACGTCACCGCTGCCCGCTTCTCCCCGGGTGTCCTGTCTGTTTCTGTCCTCACGTCACCGCTGCCCGCTTCTCCCCGGGTGTCCTGTCTGTTTCTGTCCTCACGTCACCGCTGCCCGCTTCTCCCCGGGTGTCCTATCTGTTTCTGTCCTCACGTCACCGCTGCCCGCTTCTCCCCGGGTGTCCTGTCTGTTTCTGTCCTCACGTCACCGCTGCCCGCTTCTCCCCGGGTGTCCTGTCTGTTTCTGTCCTCACGTCACCGCTGCCCGCTTCTCCCGGGCGTCCTGTTTCTGTCTTCACGTCACCGCTGCCCGCTTCTCCCGGGCGTCCTGTTTCTGTCTTCACGTCACCGCTGCCCGCTTCTCCCGGGCGTCCTGTTTCTGTCTTCACGTCACCGCTGCCCGCTTCTCCCCGGGTGTCCTGTCTGTTTCTGTCTTCACGTCACCGCTGCCCGCTTCTCCCCGGGTGTCCTGTCTGTTTCTGTCCTCACGTCACCGCTGCCTACTTCTCCCTGGGTGTCCTGTCTGTTTCTGTCCTCACGTCACCGCTGCCCGCGTCTCCCTGGGTGTCCTGTCTGTTTCTGTCTTCACGTCACCGCTGCCCGCGTCTCCCCGGGTGTCCTGTCTGTTTCTGTCTTCACGTCACCGCTGCCCGCTTCTCCCCAGTGTCCTGTCTGTTTCTGTCTTCCCGTCACTGCGCTCAGCCACTGCCCGCTTCTCCCTGGCATCCTGTCTGTTTCTGTCTTCACGTCACCGCTGCCCGCTTCTCCCCGGGTGTCCTGTCTGTTTCTGTCCTCACGTCACTGCTGCCCACGTCTCCCCAGTGTCCTGTCTGTTTCTGTCTTCACGTCACCGCTGCCCGCTTCTCCCCAGTGTCCTGTCTGTTTCTGTCTTCCCGTCACTGCGCTCAGCCACTGCCCGCTTCTCCCTGGCATCCTG